AGTGAGGTGCAGCTGAGCTGTGGCTTGCCCCCTGTGAACGCGAGAGTGATTGCAGTGATCCGAGCTTTAGCAGGAAGCAGGCAAAGTGTCTTTCCATCAAGGTAAGTAAAAAAGGCCTTATTTCCCCCTCCCTCCCCTTTCTTTTGGTTCTCTGCAGGTGGCTACACTCTCACCATTGTCCATCAAAGATGCATCATAGGATTTTGTGAGCTTTGAGTAAGATGGTGTTGGCTGATCCCTCAGTGTTTTCCAAAGCAGGAATAATCCCACTCCCTTTTTCTTCTCTGTTAAATCCTTTGTTATCTGAAGTATTAACCACACATGGTGAGGTGCTAAAATGCCTGTTTACCAGGGTTCATGCTGAAAATACTGTATAACTTATCCACTTGAAATGAGAATGCAGTATCCACTAAAGTAAAAACCCCACTCCCTCTTTCTGGGTTGTGAAGGAGGTAGGGAGGCGTGAATGGGTTCTGCCTGTCTACCCTTCATTGGCATTATGTGTTTGCCAACTGTAGCCGTGCAGAAAGGCAGGTCTGTGGGGACAACACAAGGTGCATGGGATGACAGAACGGCCAACAGAAACAAAATGGCTTAAGGGAGAGAAAACATGAGTTAGAGGACAAATGTTGGCTTGACCCTTGGGGTTTGAGCAGTGTCCCCAGGATTTGGTTTCACTCTCTCCCTTGGTGGCACTGTTTGCAGTGCTGGCTGTATCCACCATGGAGGTGGGAAGGAGGGTTAGGGGAAGTGGCCCCCAGCCCCGAGCGCATAGTAGAGCTTTCAGCAGGTTTGGGGTGTCAGCCCTAACTGGAGAGTCTAGCATCATCTTTCCTCCGTGAGTCCACCCGAGGAGTCCAGGACAGGGTCTTCACTTTCCCCAGAGGTGGAGCCCGAGACAGGTGGAGGTGCATGTAGGAGAAGCCTAGTGGGGAGGGAAGGAGCCAAACTCCAGCCAAGTCTTCCCTACTGCAAGCTACAAGATATGGCCACAAGTTATATCCTAGATGGTCTTTCCCTATGGGTTGGGGTAGAAAGAGTGGTAGCGGTGCTGACCTTCTCTATTCTATATCCAACCTGGCAGAGAGAATTGCTCCTTGGAAAGTAGCTGGCATTGTCTCTCTCTTTGGCCTGCTGCCATGTGGTGCCTTCCACCTGGTGAAGTTGTATCAAGCAGGCCCTCGCCTTCTAGAAGGCTGAGCCAAACCATTTCTGTTCATTATAAATTACCCAGCCTGAGACGCTTTGAGAGCAGATTAAGACTGGAAATGGGTCCCAGGAGCTAGGTGGTGCTGTAACAAATACTTGAAGATGTGGAAGCTTTTGGGGGTTGGGTACCGATCACAGAGGCTTAGCAGAGTGCAGCAGTGAACGCTGGGAAAGCCTAGGTTGCCCAGAATGAAGCACTGAGGGCAATTCCTGAGAGGCTCGGAAGAAGAGGAGAGCTGTAGAGAAAAGTCTGGAACTTTTAAAGGTTACTTAAGAGGTCGTGACCTGCATGTTTGTAGAACTACAAGCAGGAAGGCCATTCTGATGAGGTCTTGGGGTAGGAATGAGTAATAAAATACTGGAAACTGGAGAACGGGCCATCGTTGCTCTAAAGAGGCTAAGAATCTGGCTGAATTGTGCCCCCACCTGAGAGCTTGGCAAAAAGCAGAATCTAAGAGTAGTGAACTAAGATATCTTGCATAAGAATTTTTTTTTTCTGCAGAAGCATTTTCTAAGCAAAAGGTGTAGCATGACTAAAGCCTATATAGGAAAACACCAAGAACAAAGAATTTAAAGAAGGAATTTACAGTTTATGTTCGCTTCGGCAGCACATATACTAAAATGGGAATGATACAGTTTAAATAGCAGCATCATGCAAAGCCTTGGTCAGCTCACAGTCTGGCCGTCTAAAAAACTTGTTTTCTTGGGAAAGAATACCAAGGTGACCCTTTTGAAAGGGTTTAGGAGGAATAAAAGGAGGAAGGGGTTGGGGGATGACTCCTCTTCAAGATAGAGAGACAGGGACCCCGTGTGATGGCCTCCTAGTGGTGAAAGTCCCCACCTTGAATGTACCAGGATCCCATATGAGTGCTGGTTCTAATCCCAGCAGCCACACTTCCCATTCAGCTCCCTGCTTGTGGCCTGGAAAAGCAGTTGAAGACAGTCCAAAACCTTGGGACTCTGTACCCATGTGGGAGACCCAAAAGAGGCTCCTGGCTTCAGATAGGCTCAGCTCTGGCCATTGTTGCCACTTGGGGAGTGAACCATCGGACGAAAGATCTTCCTCCCTGTCTCTCCTCCTTTCTGTATATCTGACTTTCCAACAAAAATAAAAATAAATCTTAAAAAAAAACCCAAATTGCCATATATTGTTGATATTGGAAAAATTCTTATTTCTATGAAATAGAGGTTTTTTTTTTCATCCAACCAGGTTATATCTCTCAATTTATTCAGCTTTTCATTTCCTCTATAAGATTTAAGTCTAACTAAATCTGTACCTTTCATAGTAAATTTATTTCATGCTAAATTTCTTAAGTTTTTTTAATGACGTCTTCTTTTAAATTCTCATTTTTAATTTTTGCAAATGGGGAAAATATACACAAGGATATATGGAGACCATTTTAGTAAAGTACCTTGGATAATCTTGCTCATTTTCCCTATTTCAATTGATTCTTTCATTTTGGGGCCACTTGTATTGAGTAGAACTTGAAAAGCAACATTTTATTGTGGTTCTAAGTGGTATTTCTACCTCGGAATAGATTTGGATGAAGCTGGCACTGCATTTCATTCTTTGTTACGAAGCTTTCTCTTGATGAGTAATCTTCATCCTTTTTACCTCTGAAAGGATTGTGAATGAGATCGCACTCCCCTCTTGCAGTCCTGCCTTCACCGTTTTACCATTTCTTAAACTGTCACCATTTCCTAGTCTGTCCATTTGTCATTGTTTGCCTTCCCCCACACCTGTCTCATTGCATCTTTGTTCTGCTTTCTCATTTTATTCCTTGAAAAATAGGATTTACTTGTAGGGCAGAGTGACAGAGAAAGGGAGGGAGAGATTCCATTTACCTGTTCACTCCCTAGATGGCCACAACACTGGTGTCTGGGCCAGGTCAAATCCAGGAGCCAGGAGCTGTATTCCGGTCTCTTACTCAGGTGGCAGAAACCCATGTACTTGGGCCATCTCCGCCACCTGCCAAGGTGAATTACAAGGAACTGGACTGGCAGGTGAGAACCTGGAACTCAAACCAGTGCTCTGTCTTGGGATACCAGCTTAACCCACTATACCACAATGCCAGTGCCACCTTCTTCATGTTTCTGCTCAGCCACAACCTATTCCATACTTGCAGCATCCTGAAAATCAACCTCTACGTATTCCTTGAGCATCTTGTAGATTTCTCTCCCTTTGTAGAATTAGAATCAGACGAGCAACACATGAGGAAGAAGTAGTCTCACTTCGGTGAACATGGACAATGATCACGTTGTGACCTCTGTTCACAGACCACGACAGATGGATTCTTTCGTCTTTGATGACATCAGCTCCATGATACAGAACGAGGCTACTGAGAGAATCATCTCACCAATGAGTGTTCGGCTCTGCCACCTGCTCATCTCCATGGAGAAGGCAGATGTGGAGGAGGAGGCATTTGGCTCTTTGGAGAAAACGGCAGAGGACTTGGCTGAAGCTACTGAGGCATTGGTAGAGAAGGCCAGGAGGTACGCTGTGAAAGAACTCAGCCCTTTACTCCTACAGTGCTTTAAAACACCTTTGTTAAAAAAAGTCACATGTGAAAAAGCAGCACACTTATTTAATATATTATTATTTCTGATTTTGAGTATCCAAGTATTTCAGAGCCAATTGAATTTTCCACTAAGAAGCATATCTGTGTCTCATCAAAAGACTTTTAGATTCATCCGTATTGCATTTCACAGGCAATTTTTCTATATAGATATAAGAATATTCAGAATAGTCTAAACATAACTTAATTTTTTTAAATTGGAAAGTCAGATATACAGAGAGGAGAAGAGACAGAGAGGAAGATCTTCATCCCGTTGATTTACTCCCCAAGTGGCTGCAACGGCTGGAGCTGAGCCGATCTGAAGCCAGGAGCCTGGAGCCTCATCTGGGTCTCCCACATAGATGCAGGGTCCCAAGGCTTTGGGCCGTCTTCCACTGATTTCCCAGGCCATAAGCAGGGAGCTGGATGGGAAGTAGAGCTGTCAGGATATGAACTGGTGCTCATATGGGATCCTGGAGCATGCAAGGTGGGGACTTTCACCACTAGGAGGCCCTAAGCATAATTTTAATTTGGTCATTCAGTGCACTGAGCATGAGTCTTCTATTTTTTGAACATAAAAACTGTATCAGATGCAGAGAGAGAAAGGTCTTTCTTCCCCGAATTCAGCCAGGGCCAGTCCAGCCCACAGGCAGGAGCTAGGCGCTCTTATGGCAGTATGCTATGCGGGTGGCAGGACCCAAGTGCTTCAGCCATAACATGCTGCCTCTCCGGGCACACATTCTCAAGAAGCTTGATTGGAAGAAGAGGCTGGACCCACTGGTGCTCCAGTGTGTGATAGAAGCATCCAAGTGGCAGCTTAACTTGCTGAGCCACAGTGCCTGTCCCAATATTCCCCCTCTTTTACCCAACATTATTGACCAACCATTAAGTTGCCAGGTACCGTTCTGGGTTCTGAAATAGAGCAATCAATAAGAAAGACATTTGAAGTCCCTGTTCTCAGAGGCAGTGGAGACAAACCAAAACACAAGGTTATACTAGCAGAAAAAGTCCAAATACATAAATAGAAAGTGGGGACAGTAAAGTCATTTCACTGAAGAAATACATTTAAATTACAAAATATGGAAAATTAACCCAATCTTATAAATAACCTTTTTTTTCAGTAAGGATGCAAATTTAAATGGTAATATCCCAGTATTTGGACCCAACATATTAGCAAAGATTAAAGAATGATAACTCAATGTTGGGAGAAATAGATCTCTCATATACTAATGATGGAAATGAGAATTGGTATTTTATTTATTTCTTTTTAAAAATGTTTATTTATTTGAAGGCACAGTTACAGAGAGATGTGTGTGTGAGAAGAAGAGAGAGAGAGAGAGATAGAAACCTTCTATCCACTAGTTCACTCTCCCAAATGGCTGCCATGCCCAGTGCTGGGTCAGGCTTAACTCAGCTTCCTGTGTCTCCCACCTGGATTGCAGGGAGCCAAATACTTGGTCCAACTGCCACTACTTTCCCAGACACATTGGCAGGGAGCTGCATCAGCAGTGGAGTAACCAGGCCTTGAACTGGAACACTAGCATATGGAATCTAGCATCATGGGCTGTACCTTAACCCACCCCTGCAGCACAAGGTCAGCCCCAGGACTGGCATTTTAGAGGCTAATTCGGTACTAAAGATCCAAGACTTCAGAAATTATATGTTTATTGCACTCATTGATTCCAATCCTATTTGCCTGAATGTCTGAAATTATTGACTCCAGAAGTGTTTTAGACTTCTTTTTAAGTTTGGAGCATTTGCATGTGTGTGAGATGCCTTGGGGATGGGACCCAAGTGTAAATATGAACTTCATGTATGTTGCACATATATAATGTTCATATAGACTGAAGGTTATTCTATTTGGGATTTTCAATAATAATTTTGTATATGAAACAAAGTTTTTTTGATATGGAGTTTTCAACCGGTGACATGTGTCTGTGTCAGTGCTCAGAAAGTTTTAGAATCTGTAGCACTTCAGGTATTGGATCTTTGGATCAAGGGTGTTCAACCTGATGCTCATCCTAAGGGGATATTCCAAAATATGCACCCAAAATATGCATATCAGCATGTTTGTTGTGACGTTATTTAGAATTGTGAAAAAATAGAAGCAGGGTAAAATGTCTGAGTTTAATAATCCTAGTTGCAACATAAAATACAGTGTAGATGCTAAAGATGTTGCCGAAGAGCATTTGTTGGTTCGATATTCACAGTATCACTTAACATGGGAAAGCACGCTACCCAAAACTTACTTCGATCAAGGCAGCATGAGCGGGGTTGGAGAGTAAGACAATATGTAATTGAGAAAATAAGAGATGAGATGGACATAGATGGGCAGCCAGGGGAAGCCCCCTTCTCTGAGGCAGGAGGTTGACTTAGAAGGCTCGCTGCCTCAATCTTATATTGAACCACTTGGGAACTTGAATCACAGGAGTTGAAGTGGCACAAACTTTGATAGCTACGTCCCCTGTAGATGTTAACTGTAAGCCAGTGTTTGTGATCAGGAAGCAGCAGTGTGACCCAAGTACCGAGTACAGAGGTCAGCGTGTGACTGTCTCAGGCATTGCTCGAAGCACACAGTCCTGTGGCCTTGAGCCATTCGTCAGCCGCAGACCCTGACCCTCACCCCTTCACCTTGATCTCGCACCTTTGCCCACTTGCGGATCCTTGTTCTGGGTCTCCAGCTCCAGCAGTGGGAGAATTCAAGATTCCAGATGCAGTCTGCCTGCTCTCTCATGTCAAGTCACACTGTTATTCTTTACGAACTGCCTGCTGCAAAACTTAAAGCTAATGTGGAGCCAGAGTTGACACTAACTAGGCACACACCGTCTTAACAAGTCATCTGCAAACTTCCTCTCTTTTCTTTTATCTCAGTATGTTTCTGTCAGATTTTATTCAAGATCACATAGTAGCTATATAACTAGAAGTGTAGAACTCTATTTTAAAATATGAAAGAAATTTTAATTTAAAAATGAGATTAAGTGAGATTGGTCACCTTCAGAACCAACAGGGCGGGGTGAAAGTGATGGGCAAGGAAGAGGGACACTTTTTTGAGTTTTTGTGCAATTGGGAAACCTATGAATATTTTTGTAGATACAAATCCACTTAAAACTTAAAGAATGGAAGATAAAACCCTAAATTGGAGAAAAAATGGTATTGAAGTAAGCAAACAGGAGTGGCAAAATTTTTTCCTGCCATGTGTATATTTATAATGTCATTCATGGGCCGTACAGAATGACCATCATTAAGATCAACCTGTTAGGCCAGACCAAATGATTTCATGAACCTTATGTGTGGCCCGTGGTCTGGGTAAGACCATAATCTCATGGTGGAAAATAAAAAGAACCCAAGTGCCTAATTTTTGAGCAAGGCACTTCAATGTAATCCATCAATCTAAAGACAAAGCAAACTGCAAACAAAGTGGGTTTTTTAGTTTTGTTTGTTTTTTTTTTTTTTCCAAATTAGGATGGGCTATCAGCTTTGGATTGTTAACACACTCATGAACAAACAAGTGAACATGTTGAGGCTAAAGGGAGTCAGGTTTCTCACTCACGGAAAAGGGAGATCACAAATGGAAATGAAGAGTCCAGGAAGAACCCTCGGTGCTGGATGGGGTTAGGCTGCAAGGAGCAGCCATGTCCCCCAAATACAGAAAAAGTGGAAAAAGTTGTCTCACCCACTTTGCCCTGTTCCTCAACCCTCCCTGCCTTAATCAGTGGTCCACCCGGGCATGCATCCTTCTCCACTGCGCAAACATCATCAAAAATAAAACAAAATAGAAACACTGGAGACAATTGGATATGAACTCACATATATGCCCAACCACATGTCTGTTTACCATGTTTGTATTTCCATGCTCCTCCCACTACAAAGACCTAGAGGTAATGGTACCCCAGGAGCAGTGAGCACACCTGTCACCCAGATCTTGGTTTCTAAACACTATCTGCTTTAAAAAGAGCCCAAGTCTGTAGAAATGACCTGTCCTGGGACTGGGGTAAGGAAAACATGGAACCTGGATTTTCTTGAGTCAAGGAAGGAAGTGATTGAAAAACAAACCAAAAGACAAACAAATAAACAAACCCTTAAGGCCAGCACTGTGACATAGGGAGGAAAGCTGCCAGCTGAGTCCTGGCATCCCGCATGTGTGCAGGTCCAAGATCAGGCATCTCCATCTCTGGTGCAGCTCCCTACTAACCTGCTTAGTAAAGCAGCCAAGGAATCCCACGTCCCTGGACCCCTCTTTCCATGTGGGAGACCTAGAGGAAGCTCAAGGGTCCTGGCTTCGGATTGGCCCAGCTCCTAACACTGTGACCATTTGGGAAGTAAACCATCAGATGACGGATTCTCTCTGTTTCTCTGCCTACCCCCAATTCATAAATCTTTACAAAAATAATAATAATAACAACCCAACAGGGACAAATAAAAAAGATATAGGATACAGTTTGAAAGGGGAAAATTTGGGGGGAAATATGGTCCAATATGGGATCATATGAGGATAACAACAAAAAAATAATGGTTTATAAACCATTGAAGAAGATAAAAATGGAAGAGTCCCTAACATAATAAATGAACAGTGGAGAAGAGAACATTCTTTCTTGTTGTGGAAGGATCGTTGATGATGTCAGGAGGAGCTGTGAAATTAGTTACCATTTGGGCACTCTTCACTGGTCCACGCAAGGATCCTCAGTGGAAGCTTACAGCAGTAGACGGAAGCTTAATTTAGAGGCAGTTAGTATCTCAAGGAGAACTAGGACCTTCAGAAAGGAGAAACCTGGCAGGTCACTGCCCCCGCATGGTCAAAGGTGGCATTGCCCATTACTGGAACCAAACGCCTTCCTTGCCTGACAATGTGGCACTTTGAAGACACAGCGTCATTCTGGAGAACCACTTCCCACATTGTGCAACCAGAATTTATTAATAACACATCAGACCGACCCACACAGAAGAAGGGCTTTCTGTAAATCACTGGCTTGAAGGAGCCATAAAATATCAAGGTCAAGAAAGCCAGAGAAAGCTGCTTGACTTGTGGCAGATCAGAGGGATCTAAGCTCATTCCTATCGCTGATGGACCAAATTGTTTTTTTTTTTTTACATTTGTTTATTTTTATTGAAAAGGCAGATTTACAGAGAGAAGGAGAGAGAGAGAATGATCTTCCTTACACTGTTTTCCTCCAAAGTGTCAGCAACAACCAGAACTACGCCAACCCGAAGCCAGGAGTCAGGAGTTTCTTCTGAGTCTCCCACTTGGCTGCAGGCTCCCAAGGCTTTGGAACATGTTCCATTGCTTTTCCAGGCCATAAGCATGGAGCTGTGTGGAAAATGAAGCAGCCGGGGCATGAACCAGCACATTTATGGGATCCCAGCACCTGGAGGTGGAAGATTAGCCAATTGAACCACATCGCCAGGCCCACACACTAACTTTTGAGGGAAGTTCCATATTACTTTTGTGTGTGTTAGCATAAGTGCTTTTGCTGCATGATCTGTCCTTGGCAAGGTCAGTTACGTATACAGAGAGTGATCTGTGCTCATGACCGTGGGAAGTGGTCCAGCTCGTCCATTGGAGCAATACTATTTATAATTCATATCTGCACTCAGATTTGACTGCACCGACTTTCACAACAGTTCCTTCAGCAGTTCCCTAGGGAGGCCAAGTGGAGGCAAGCAGCCCGGAGCTTGTGGAGGTGGCAGCTCCTTCAGGCCTTCCTCTGCCTGGTGAGCCACCCAAGGACAAATCAACAGGCCCCGGCCAGCATTGGCGGTGGGAGAGGGCTGGTAGGAATGACCTTGCAGAAAGAAGACAGTACAACACGTACTTCCTTTTGCTTAAAAACCCACCTTTAAATTACTTCTTAACCTTTTGGCTAAGACCAAGTATAAAATCCCGCCTATGGGGACCAGTGTGGTGGTATATCAGCTTAGGCCTCTGCATGCAGTGCCAACATCCCACATGGACGCAGGTTCAAGTCCCAGCTGCTCCATTTCTGATCCAGCTCCTTGTTAATGTGTCTGGGAAAGCAATGGAGATGACCCAAGTGCTTGGGTCCCTGCACCCATGTGAGAAACCCAGAAAGAAGCTCCTGGCTCCTGGCTTTGGACAGTCCAGTCCTGGCCATTGCAGCCTTTTGGGGGAGTGAACCAGCATATGGAAGGCCTCACAGTAACCCTGGGGGAAACTGGTGGTTTCACTTATCTCCCCTCCACCTCCACTTTCTGCCCCCTGGGCATGCTCCTGAGAATTTTCTAGTTATCTTGTTTTTTTTATTTCTAGTATAATTGTGTTATAATCCAATACATACTTTGTATGATTTTTTCCAATTTTTGGTATGATTTTAAAAGATGTATGTGTATATAGATACAGATCTTTTTTTTAAAAAAGATTTATTTATTTGTATTGCCAAGTCATATATACAGAGAGGAGGAGAGACAGAGAGGAATATCATCTGTTCGATGATTCACTCCCCAAGCAGCCACAACAGCTGGAGCTGTGCTGATCTGAAGCCAGGAGCCAGGAGCCTCTTCCTGGTCTCCCACATGGATGCAGGGTCCCAAAGCCTTGAGCCATCTTTAACTGCTTTCCAAGGCCACAAGCAGGGAGCTGGATGGGAAATGGGGCCATCGGGATTAGAATCGGTACCCATATGGGATCCCGGCACATGTAAGATGAAGACTTAATTGCTACAGGCCGATCTTTTCTTTTTTAAACATGTTATTTCTTTGAGAAACAGAGAGCAAGACAGAGTGAGTTCCCATTTGCTGAGTCACTCCCCAAATGTCTACAATGACCAGGATTAGGCAGGTGCTGAAGCGAGCCAGGAGCTGAGAAATCTGTGGAGGTGTCGCACGGAGGTGACAGGAGCCCTCACTGTTGCCTTCCAGGGTCCGTTGTAGCAGGAAGCTGGAGCCAAGAACCAGAGGCAGGCATTGAACCCAGGCACTCTGACATGGGGTATGGGCATCTTAACCACTATGCCAAATGCCCACCCCTCTCGTGACTATATCCTCCAGCTCTGGGTCTCTATTTGGAAATGTCCCATGGACCCTTGAATAGACATGCATTCTAAATTATTGGGTGTAATATTCTGTATGTATCACCGAGGGCATGTTTGTGTGTTGAAATATCCTATCCATGCATCTATTTTTTTTTTCCTAGAGAGTTGAGCAAAACATCTTCCATTGTGATGATGGATCTGTTCTTCCTTTTCCCTTTTGTGACTACTTGCTTTTGTATATTGGGCTTATCTGAAAAAAAAAAAGCTTACAAATCTAGAATAGTTACCTTCCTTGTGGAAGCAATCATCTTTTGTCATTTTGAAATCTACCCTTCAAATCAGATCATTCTTGTCTCTTTGTCTAAATATTACAATATTATAGTTACTCTAGATTTAGTAGTTCATGCACTTGGGAGTTTATACATAAATACCGGATCATGTCCCGACGGCCCTGCTTTCCCTGCTTAGGGCCTGGGAAAGCAGCAGAGGACGGCTCAAAGCCTTGGCACCCTGCACTCACCTAGGAGACTCAGATGACTCTCTCAGTTGCTGTTTCAGATCGGCTCAGCTCCAGCTTTTGCAACCATTTGGGAAGTGAGCCAGCAGGTAAAAGACCTCTCCTTCTGTCATCCCTCTCTCTGTAAAATCTGCCTTTCAAATAAAAATCTTAAAAGACACACACAGAGACAGATATACGCCATCTGCTGGTTCACCGCCCCTCCCCCCCAAAAAGGCCACAAAAGTCAGGGTTGTGCCAAGCTGAAGCCGAGAGTTGGGAACTCCAGCTGGGTCTTTCATGTGAGTGGCAGGGACCCATGTTCCCTTACCCACTGCCACTCAGGATGCGTGGTCAGTAAGCTGGTTTGGAAACAGCGTAGCCAGGACTTGAACCAGGTGCATCAGTAGATATGGGCCTTCCACACCATAGTTTAACCCAGAATACCACCTGGCCTTTGTTTTTCACAACTTTATTAAGGCAAACTAATGATCAACAAACTGTATAAATTTAAAATGCATCCATTGATACATTTTGGCGTATGTATTTACCAATGAAACCATGACCGCTGTTAATGTGATAAACAGAACTGCCACTTCCAGAAGTTTTCAGTGTTGAGGTGAAATAGGAATGAATGGGTTCACAGAGGAAACTTGAAGGTGATAAATATATTCACTCTTGACCTTGAAGGTGGTTTTGTGGGTGAGTACACAACAAGCTTACTAAATTTTATAATTAAAATAGTCCAGTATATTTTAAGAAGCTGTAAACAAAAACACAGAACGATATAAGCATCCATGAGGCAATAGTGTGTAAGTAAATACATGACATAATAGATGAACGCAGAAGAAAGGACAGCATTTCTTTATAGAATTCCAGTTAATCAAAGCAGATGGAATGAAGGCAACTACAAATTATCATTGGGCAGGGCCTGGTGTGGTGACCTAGTGACTAAAGTCCTCACCTTGCACACGCTGGGATCCCACATAGTTGCTGGTTCTAATCCCGGCAGCTCCACTTCCCATCCAGCTCTCTGCTTGTGGCCTGGGAAAGCAGCTGAGGATGGCCCAAAGCTTTGGGATCCTGCACCCGCATGGCAGATCCAAAAGAAGCTCCTGTCTCCTGGGTTCGGATTGGCGCAGCTCCAGCCATTGTGGTCACTTGGAGGGTGAATCATCGGACAGAAGATCTTCCTCTCTGTCTCTCTGTCTCTCCTCCTTTGCAATAAAATAAGGAGGTTGAGACTGAGAGAGATATCTTCCATCTGCTGGGTCACTCAAACAGCTGCAATCACTGGGGTTGTGTGGTTCTGAAGCCAGGAGCTTCTTCAGGGTCTCTCATGTAGGTGCAGGGTCTCAAGGACTTGAGTCATCTTATGCTGCTTTGCTGGGCCATAAGCAGGGAGCTGGATAGGAGGTAGAGCATCTGGGCCATGAACCGGCTCCCATTTAGAATGCTGGCACTGCGATGTGGAGGATTAGCCTGTTGAGCCACTGTGCTGGCCCCAAACACACCGTATCTTTGGAGACTCCCAGCACCCTTAGCACAGCCGGGCATCTCCATGGGAGCGGCTGGTTGCTTGGTTCCTTGCTGCTGTGTATCATCCTCTCTCTAGGACATCAGCTTCTGTGACAGCATGTCGTCTCTCCAGGCTGGCGGCTGACTCTGGGGAACAGTGGCTCAGGGCAGAGGTGGAGCCTGCAGCAGAATCACTCCTGCTTTGCGGGAGGAATGTCACGCAGGTGGCACGGAAGCTCCTACTGCAGCCCGCCTGCCAGCGCCACCGCGAGGAGCTGGCGACTATGGCTCAGCAGATGGTGGTGGCCACTACCAAGGTGAGGCTGCAGTCCGAGCTTCACAGAGAGCTTGTTGCTGGGGACTAGGGGTGGAAGTGGCGTTTTCACAGTAGGTACCTGTCCCAGGCACAGAATCCAGGCCCAAGTCTCTGCTGAGTCCTAGGGCTCAGGATTCATGACCAACTACATGAAGGCTGCCTGTGGAAGCTGCCATGGCTGGGGCGAGGAACTGCAAGGGGGGTCTATGATCTTAAACACCTATGCAGTCCCTTCTGGCTTTACACTGAACCACCTACCTCTAATTTAAAAAGAAAGAAGGAAGAAAGGAGGGGAGAGAGAGGAGAGGAGAGACAGGGAGAGAGAGGAGAGGAGACAAAGGAAGGAAGGCAAGAAGGAAGCAAGGAAGAAAAAGAAAGGAAGGAAGAATGGATGGAAGGAGGGAGGGAGGAAGGAAGCTCTTAGAAACAAGATATTGCTGCAGTGGGGGTGATGTGAGGAAGCTAGAACAAACTCTCAGTTCCTAAGCATTGCCCAGTGCCAGTCTGACAGTCCTCCCTTACTGTGCCACTCCCTTACTGGGCACTTGGTGTTCCCTGTTAACATCACTATGCCTTGGGCCTAGCACAATGGCTTAATTGGCTAGAATCACTGGGATCCCCTATGGGTGCTGGTTCCTGTCCCTGCTGCTCCACATCCCATCCTGCTCCGTGCTTATGGCTTAGGGAAATGGCCCAAAGCTTTGACCCTACATCCACGTGGGAGGCCTGAAAGAAGCTTCTGACTCCTGGGTTTGAATTGGCTCAGCTCCAGCCATTGTGGCCATCTGGGGAGTGAATCAGTGGATGGAAGATCTTTCTCTCTGTCTCTTCTCTCCATAAATCTGATCTGCCTTTCCAATAAAAATAAATAAATCTTTGAAAGGTCTACATGCCTTAAACACTCTCAAGTGTTGTCTATCATTAGCTAGTTAGTGTGGACTGTTTGGTGGTGGTGGCGGAGGGGCATTTGTAATTCAATAGAACCTCAGTGAAACAGCATTAGAAATGAGTAGAGGAGACCATCTTGTCCACCTGCTGGTGGGAGGCTGGGCAAACTTTGTGGAAGACAGGAGATGGGAGGGCAGGGCTAGGCTAAGAAAAGTTTCTCAGAGGCACTTGCTGGAAGGTCCTCCCTCCCGTAGCCACTTTTTCCCTCCTTTTGACTTAGAGTCTACACTCCACTACAACGTTGGGATTTGGGAAGTGCAGAGGGCTTTGTAAAGCCTAAGACAGGGGCCACAATGCTCTCGCCTTTGCTCCAAAGCATGCAATAACCTCCAGGACTTGTCTTCTCTGGATGCCCTGACAGGTGCTGCTCCTCGAAGATGCGGCAACGGCAAGGAGGGCGGCGCTGGAGGCCGGCTGCTGCTTGAGCTGCCTGGACGCGCTGGAGGCCACGGACGACGCGGCCTCGCTGAGCCGCCTTTTCGCGGATCTGGCTATGGCGCTGCTGCGCCTGGGGCACCTGACGGCGCGCCGGGGCGAGGCCGACGGCCTGCTGCGGGGCTGCATCCCCGCACTTGTCGCGGTCGCTCGCGGCCATCTGCGGTACCCACGCGACCCGCAGTTGGCAGCCTCCAGGCGCCGCGTTCTCGCTCAAACCAGGGAGGCCCTGAGCAAGCTCCTGGCGCTGCTGGAGCCCAGCGCCAGCTCGTTCCCAGCGCAGACCCTCTCACGGAGCGGCGCGCTCACCCGGCGCCTGCAACAGGTGCGGGAGCTGCTGCTGGCGACGCCCACACCCGGGTGCCTGAACGGCCTGCTGGACGCGCCTCTGGCGGCGGTGCTCGGACACTGCATGTACCTGGCCGCCGGCTGCGCGCCGCCGGAGCGGCTGCACCTGGTAGTCCGCTGTCGCCAGCTGCTGGAGCTGCGGGGGAGCCTTGGGGCTGCAGAGACCGGCCGCGCGAGCCTGGATTCGGCCGAGGAGCGCGCGGCGCTGTGGGCTGCGGCCGAGGGCCTGTCGCAGGGTATCCGCACAGGGTTACTGAGCCAGATTCTGGACACGTTCACGGACACGCAGAGTCCCCTTCAAAGTCTGATCCAGGCCGCGCGAGTCACTCCCCCAGAAGACTGCCTGCGCAGTGGGGAAACCTCACCCACAAGCCTCCAGCCCTTTCTTGCAGTCTTCCTTGAACAGGCCGGGCACATGCTCCGGGTGGCCCACCTGGTTTTGGTGTGCTGCTCGCGGCCGCAGACTGGCAGAGACTTGGAAATCGCTGCTGCCGGCTTGTGGGCTCTCGTGGTTAGAGTGCAGCAGTTTTTCTCCCAAGACCCCCGGAACTGTGATCTGGACCTGAGCCCCGACGCCTTGCAGGCTTTGCTTCAGGCCTGGGCCGCTGCATCTGATCACCTGTTGTCATGTTTTGATGATGTCCTGGATATTCCTGAGTTCCTGAGCGCGTGCATTTGGGAAATGACTCGGCGCCTGCCCTTCCTTGCGTGGGCTTTGAGCAGTGGCGATCCCACAGAGCTCCGCAGACCTGTGGTGTATCTGCAGGCTCGAGCGGTGCACATGGTGCAAGTGATGAACAGGTATGTGGGCAGAGAAAGAGACCCCATTTTCCGAAATGGCCTGCGAGTCCTGATCCAGCAGCTGGCACAGGCTTCCCGGCGCCTGGGTGCAGCTGCCGAGGACTGCTCAGAGGAGAACAGCCTATGGGACACAGGTGTGGTTTTAGCAGCAGCCAGACAACTCATCTGTTCAGCTCAGAGCATCCTGGAGGGCTTGGATGGAACCAACCACCCAGACATCCTCAGCCCCCTACGGGTTCAAGTCTGCAGGTTTGGAACGACTGAGGACCAGCCCTGTTTGGTGCTCCCTGGCCTCTGGGACGGCAGGGCTCCTGAACTGAAACACCAGCAGGTGCCTGGGTTCAGGGAAAGGGATCCAGGCACTTTCTGCTCCCCCAGAGTCCATCCTGCCTGCCCCTCGATTCCTGGCATGGATCCCCCAGGAGGGAAGGAAGACTCTCGGCTCTCTGCCATTAACAAGCTGGTGCTGGCAGTACAGCGCTGTGGCCCTGAGGGGTCGACCTCAGCTGGCTTCAGCCTGCCTGAGCAGGGTGCAGGTCAAGAGCCCCTAGCTGGGGAGGGACTGCTGGGGTCAGAGCGGATGCCAGGCCTTCAGGAAGTCTCCACTCTGCCACCTTGTTTGTGTAAGCTGCCTAGGGAAGTAGCCCATGGTGCAGCTGCTGGAACGGACAGGCTTCTGGAGGCGAAGCTCCAGCTCCCTGGGAGGACCAGGGAAGCCAGGCAGGATATGGTAGCCACTGCTGGAGACTGGTACCTTCTGTGCCAACAGCTGTTCTACCACAGTCAAACAGCTGATCTACCAGGGAGCATGGCCACATTCATGGAGCTTCAGCAGAATTTAGCCTCGGTGGTTCAACTAGCAGCTAAAAGTGTACTCATGGATTTGGATAAGAAGGGCCCTATCTCAACTGGGCACCCCGAAACATTTGCACAAATGCAAGGCAGATGGGAGGAGGCAGAGACTCATGCCAAGCAGCTGATGGACCAGTTGCTGGCCTCTGATGGGTGCCGAGCTGTCAAGTCATGGGGCGAGAACATTGAAGACAGATGCCTTCTGTGGTCAACGGCCATCCAAGACCTGATACAGCACATGGAAAAGCTCAACGAGAGACAAGGCCTGTTCCTGCTTCCCCTGCGGCAGGCTGTGAGGCACCAGCAGGGGTGGAAGGAAGGGTTGGATCGGGCAGCAGATGCTTCTCAGAGGCTACAAGAGGTCGCCAGGCTGTCAGGCCCACTGTGTGGGAACGAGCAGGTGCAGGCCGAGCTCTCCTTTCTAGGCAAGGAAGTTCACATGCTCACGGATGCTCTCTTGTTCGTGGCCCAGCTCTTGGTCTCCTCTCCCAAGCCGGCTCCCAGCCTGTCCACACGCTTCGAGCTCCTCTGCTTGGAGCTCACTCTGCGAGCCAAGGCCCTGACGGACCACTTCCACAGCATCCATGCAGACTACACGTGCGCTCTCAAAGACATTTTCTGCTCCAGATACTCCATCAGCAAGGATCCCCAGACTAGACCCGGAAACAAGTTAGAAGCCATGGTGTCTGGCATCCAAGCTGTACAGGCAATCGTGGCAGAAAGTAGAGAGTCTGGGCCCTGCCATGATGCCCTCACTGTGGCTCTAGAGAACATCCTTGTCCTCACCAAGGAGGTGGCCCAGAGGCTCCCTGTGCTCCGAGAACACCTCGAGGAGTGCGAGACGCAGACCCTGGATTTGCTTTGGTGGGAGTGGGCAGCCACGGCTCACTCTGCCATGGCCCAGCTGCAAGCCTGGAAGGGCAGTCACTCAGAGGCCTGGAGACTCCTGGCCCAGTGCTTGAAACCAGGGGAGGACCCAGTGCTGGCCCCAGTGCAGGACCTTGCCCAGCCCGGGCTCTACCACAAGGCGGGGACAACAGGAACTGAGGCAGTAAGCAGTGTGAATTCTCAGGATTCCATCCTGGCAGGCACCCCCAGGAGCACAGAGGGAGCCTGCTCTACTGAAATAGCGCCAGCAGACCTGGGCATGGTAGGATACTCAGCATCTTTCCTCTGCCCTGTCTGAACCCTCTTCCTCTTACCCAAAGACCTTGCCAAGCTCCAGAAAAAAAAAACTGTCTTGGTGCACATGTGGGTAATTCACACTGAACAGGCAGCACCCACAACCTGTAGGAACCCAAGCTCTGGGACCAGACTTGTAGCAGAGTACCTGCTGCAGGCGCAGGGTAGGGTCATGCAGCCACACGGGGTCTGCAGGCTTTGGGAATGGAAAGGACCCCATCCCACTCCACCCCCTAGACATATCTGGCTCTGTCACCTGTATGTGAAAAGGCTTCTTTGGGTGGAAAATAAGGTGTCATATGCCAATGTTTGCCGCCCAAGTAGGTACTCTGTGCACATGAACGTAAACACACACACTCAGCTCCAGTGAAACAGGGAAAATAACTCTGTCTAAGGATCCTGCCACTGAGAGTGTGAGTGCTTGGAGAAGTGAGACTGACCACTCAGGGTGACCATCTGCTGTGCTCGCCACTCCTTGGGGCTCCCAAGGGGCAGAAGCTCAGCCTTTATAAAGCGCAGAAAGGCCACCGAACTCTGAGTAGCACCTGCTGTGGGAGGAGGACCTGGACTGGGAGAGTTCAGGCACCTGTAAGTCACCAACCGGAGCCTCCTGACTGCAGTTACGGGCGTCTGTGAGATGCAGCCCTGGGCCTCGTTGCTGCTGAAGAAACTGGAGGTGCTTTCAGCCATGTGTGATCCAGCTGCCTCCGACAGTTGGATATGGGCCTTGAAAAGGACAATTGCTGGGATCCGTTCTGTCAGCTCCAAGGCCGCTGAATCACACTGGCCATTTTCTTCCTCCTTGGTCTTCCGGGGCTGTAGCTGAGGGGTATTATCTGCCAGGTTCTCTTATCTTTCCATCCTGGTGACCTGCATGTACTCAGTCCCCCTCCTGAAGAGATGGCAGCTCACCCCTCACAGCATCCAGGGACAACTCACTATGTCCAAAATGAGGCCAAGAAAACAGTAGGAGACACGGTCAGTTTTCAGAAGGTGAGGGCAATGTGGCTGAAGCAGTCAACTTCAAAACCACAGTAAATCCAGGTTTCTTTTCAATATGCACCAACTTAAGATTTTCAAAACCACTAGTGGGCCCAGCGCAGTAGCCTAGCGGCTAAAGTCCTCCCTTGCACGCACTGGTGTCCCATATGGGCACTGATTCATTCCCTGGAAGACCCACTTCCCATCCAGCTTCCTGCTCATGCCCTGGGAAAGCAGTCAAGGACGGCTCAAAGTTTTTGGGACCCTGTATCTGCATGGGAGACCCAGAAGAGGTTCTGGCTGCCTGACTTCAGATTGGCTCAGTTCTGGCTGTTGCAGTTACTTGGGGAGTGAATCAGCAGACAGAAGATCTTCCTCTGTGTCTCTCCCCTTTTCTGTATATGTGACTTTGCAATAAAATAAACAAATCTTAAAAAAAAAAAACAAACAAAACCAAAACCAAAACACCAGCGGTTGAGGTTTTGGGACTCTGTCTTACTGGTCCTTGACCACGTGGTCTCTGACAGTGCAGGTGCACAGGAAGTAGTTCTGAATGCTTGCTAGGATGCTGAAGACAGCCTAGATGTACAGAACACGGGGTAAATTGAGTGTGGGAGGGATGGAGCTGATGTTCTAGATGCTTCCTTAGAGCAGAGCAGTTCTGGATGCCCAAGGGAGTATAGGGTTTACAATCACAAATGAAAAATGGAAGAACTTCCAGGGAATAAGGACTGGCAGGTGACTTTGGCACAAGAGGGTCTCCCGGTGCTTGGAGCCCAGTGGGTGCACTTTAGGCCCTTCCAGCGACCCACCTGGCTGATTGCTATTTTCAGTATCAGAACAGCTTTTCTGAGTCAAAACTGAGCAGTCAGGGCTGGTACCCACAGGGGATGCTGGCACTTGCAGGGGGAGGATTAGCCAGTTGAGCCATTGCGCCAGGCCCAAATCTGACAATTTCTAATTTGTTTTCTTCCAGCAGCACAATGGCCTACCTGCTGCCTCTCCAGGTCATCCTGCCTGGCCACAGACAGAGCTGGCCCAGTCATTGCAGAAAGATGACAGCGCAGACAATGACAACAGACTCTCGCAGATCACCCAAGAGATGACTGAAATGGTGCTGCGAATGGCCCAGAGTTTGAGGAAGAGATGCCTCCTGGTACTGGACATCAGCAGGCTGCGGTGGGGAACGGACTGGACACCTTGTAGGGGAAATGGGTTCCCACTGCATTCTCTGGAGCTGGATAGCTCCAGGCAGCACCCAGGACCTGTACAGCTTGGGGAAGGGGCCTGGAGGCTGCGTACCTCTGGCTTCTGGGAGCCACTTCCACTTGACAGTTCAGCTGCTCTGATCTACCCCAAAAGCCTCCTTACAGAAGTAAGGAACATTGTCATATCTTGGTTGGCATGTAGCATTGTCGGTTTGGACAACCATGCCAGATCTGGGGAGCGGAAGTTCATGTTGGCTCTGCGGGGTGATTCCTAGGCTGTCCATTTCCAACCTGGCTCTCCTCACCCACGGCCTGTCCAGGGGCACGTGCCTGCTCTTCCCAGACAAGCAGAAAAGGTTTGCTTTGGGCTCCATGTCAACTCATATCCCAGGCTGGATGGAGTGTGTTCACACTGAGAGGTGAAGCGGGAGGTGCGGAGTACGTTTGACGTGCTGCGGGATCTGTGACCAGCTTCCTGGGCGAAGCGTGTCAGGGCATCATCCACCTGCTTCTAACTGTTCCGTGTCTCCGGTGCAGACCAAAGATGAGCTCATTACCTCCGCGAGGAAAGTCGCAACCTGTGCACAAGAATTTGCCAGACTCATCTGCATGATCGCCAAGAACTGCATAGACAGAAGATGCTCCCAGGAACTTGTGTGTAGAGTCGAACAGATCCAGACGATGAGCAACCAGCTCCGTATCATCTCCAGGTAGGAACTGGGTTTGGTGAAAAGTGTTCATCTTTGCAGTGTAGGGGTGTAGGGTGGGATAATTCCATTTTCCCACGCTTCCTTGAATTATTTTATCCTTCTTCAAGAATTTACACTTACTTGGGGAAGAGTAAACAGACTCATACAAGGCCAAGAGGGAGGGGCAGGCCATGCCAGGCAAGAGCCTAGTACCAGCTGTCATGCATGAGATCTGGGTCTGGGAGTGGGGCCAAGTGGGGGAACTTGGGAAACTCCCCTAGTGGGTCATAGCTCCTGCCGTGAGCACATGGTCTAGGCCTGGGAGTTGGGCAGGCTGGGCAAGGTAGCTCCAACTGTTGGCTAATGTGTGGGTTGGTTTTGGAGGAGGGCAGACCGGGCCAAGCAAACCTTAGCTCACCGGCAAGTACAGAAACCAGGCTGGAGGATAGGTCATAACGGGCTAGGCTGTCAGACCTACTGGTTTGCATAAGCCAGGGATGGAAGCAGACTGCTTTGAGTAAGACCAGGTTCCAGCACCCGCCAGTGAGAGTCAGGACTGGGGCAGGCTGGGTCAGGCCAGGCTATAGCATCTAAGGCAAAGGCCAAGACAGGTGAGGGACTATGCCAAGCTGGGTCAGAGCAACCACTGGCATGTGTGTGATCTATGGCTGGGAACAGGCCTGGTTGGGGAGCTAAGGGGACACCCTGGCTGGGTTGGGGTTCCCACTGGTGAGTGTGGGGGCCAGAGTGGGAGCTATGTTCTGGTCTGGGTAGGGCTATAGTCTCCCTTGGGATAAATGTGAACTGGGGCTGGGCACACCAAACTGGGCTAGACTCCAGCACCAACTGGTGCTCTGGAGAACCAGGGTAGGTGTAGGATGGACTAGGCTAGGTCTCTGTCCCTACTGAGCCATGTGTGAGCTATGCCTGGGTGTGGACCAGGCTTGGCTGGGCTGAAATATCCAACAGTAAAAACCAGAATGGGTTGAAGGCCAATCAGGAAAGGCCACTGTTCTTGCTAGGACAGGAGGTGGACTAAGTAGGGCTGGTGTGTGGACACACCTGTGTATGCTAAATCTGGCACTGGGAGAGGTTCTGATGGAGGAGCTTGGGGAACTCCTCTGCAGGCAAGTGCAAGAATCATAATAGGAGCAGCCCAGACCAGGCCAGGGAATGGTACCCAGTGGCATACATTTGGCACAGGTCAGAAGCAGACCCGACTGAGCCAGTTCACATCACCTGCTGGTGAATCAGCACCAGAATAAAGTATGGGTCGGGCCGGGCTCAGTTGCAACACATACTAGTACATATTATGGTTGGGACTGGGTGCTGGCTGAGCTGGACTAGTCTGTAACCCCCAACAGTGTGAGCTGGAATTGGGGGGTAGGCAGAGCCAGGCCAGGCTACAGCACCCACTGGCAAATGCCGAGGCAAGGAAGACCATGCCAGACTAGACCACAGTACCCAACCAGCGAGACCCAGGGGAGGGACAAAGCCAATAGGGGGGACTACATGGGGCTCCCTGCTGGACCACTACTCCCACTGGACAATGTGATATGGGATGGGGACAGACCAGACCAGGCAGGACTATAACACCTGTTGGACTCATGTGGGCTGGATCAGGGGAAAGTCAGAGTGGGTGTGGGTTGGTTGGGCTTTGCCACAGCATCAGCTGGCAGATGCTGGTACTGGGGGCTAATTCTGTCAAGTTAAATTGCAGAACCACTTGGAGAGTGCATGATCTCAGAATGGAAGGGGGCCCAGTAGGGAAACAGTGGGCACCTCCCTCTTGGGTTACCACTGCCAGTGGTGAGCATGAGAGCCAGGACTGGGGCAAACATGGCTAGACAGAATGGCACCCACTGCCATGCATGTAGGCTGGATAGTGGGGCTAGTTGTGTTGAACTAGGCTTGATATGTATGAGAGCTGAATGGGATGTGGGACAGACTGGACCAGTCTGCTGTACATACTGGCAAGCATGGGAACCAGGCAGGGGGGTGAGCCTGGTGGGGGTTATTGTGGGTCACTCCAACTAGGCTGCAACTCCCACTGGTTTATGTGAGGGCCAAGTGTGTGGTGGGCAGGATCGGGCTGGACTGCAACACCTGTTGGTTTGTTTAGAAGACAGGGCTGGACACAGAACTAACTCAGCAATTGCAACCACCAGCATATGCATAAGATGATTGGGGCGACAGACAGTGCTAGACCCTGCAAGCACACAAGAATCAGGTCTGGGATCTCCTTAGATGAAGTTTGTTTTGGGGATTCCCCCAGCTGAACTACTGATCTCAGAACCTCAACTGTGAAGAGAAGTGCAGGTTCCATGGTCTGACCATGGAGTGCAAATGCCAGAGCCAAGCCTCCTCAGAGGCTCAGATGGAGCAGTGGACAGCACAATCAGGTGCGCGTGAGGTAGTACACTGGAGCCTGCAGAGAACACCTGGTACCACAACAGAGTACAGAGGGCAGAAAAATCAATCAACTACTCCAGCCATGTGATAGCAGTGAAAATCTGAGCAAATGGAGACTCTAAGGTGGACTATGTCAGCCAGTAGATTCTGAAGAGATTTCATCGTGCTTGGAATGGCGAGACTGGCAGCAATTCATAACTGTTGACTATTGAAAATACTTGAGCAGGACCCCGGAGCATGCCCCACATGGAGGACCCTGGGATGGTTGGGAGGGAGGGTGTGGCTTCTCCCTTTGTCTCTCCCCTTCCCCCAGATACAAGAAGGAAAAAAGAGAATGTGGAAACAATGGTCTTACCCACTTTCCTGTAGCCCTTGACCTTTTGTGCCCTAATCAACTATGTAAAGATCATTAGAAAGAAGAAGAAGTCGTCTGATGCTGTTAATACTGGCCTAGCGCAGTAGCCTAGCGGATAAAGTCCTCTCCTTAAACGCGTCAGGATCCCATATGGGTGCTAGTTAATTCCAGCAGCCCTGCTTTCCATCCAGCTCCCTGCCTGTGGCCTGGGAAAAGAGCCGAGGACGGCCCAAAGCCTTGGGACCCAGAGCTCACATGCAAGACCCAGAAGAGGCTCCGGGATCCTGACTTCAGATCTGCACAGCTCTGGCCGTTGCAGCCACTTGGGGAGTGAATCAACAGACAGAAAATCTTTTTAATTTTATTTTTACTGCAATGTTAGATATACAGAGAGGAGGAGAGGCAGACAGGAATATCTTTCATCCCATGATTCACTCCCCAAGTGAGTGTAATTCAGAACTGCTGAACTATCAAAACCACTTGAACAGTGCCCTCACAGCATGCCCCTTGTCTGGGATCCTGGGATGGGTAGGAGGTTAGGTAGGGCTTCTCTCTTCCTCTTCCCCCTTATCCCAGATATAGAAAAGAGAGAGAGAGAGAGAATGTGGAAACAATTATATTACCCACATCCTGTAGCCCTTAACCCTTTGAACCCTAACCAGCTATGTAAAGATCAACAAAATAAAATAATATTCATTTAAAAAAAGAAAAAGGAGAATGTCAAAACAATGGTCACACCCACTTTCCTCTAGCCCTTGATCCTTCACACCCTAATCAAATATGAAAAAAGTCTCAAAAATAAAATTTACACAACAAAAAAAAGAAAAATTATCAATTTTTTAAAAGGTTTAAAAATGTTAAAGGGAACGCTCTCTCTGACTAGTCCCAAATGCTCTTCCTGATTACTCCCCCACAAAGTCATCCCAGATTTCTGAATGGAACTAGCATGGTGAAAGTCTTCTGGCATTGGAGACGGTTTCTGTGTGATTGCACCTCTTCCCTGGGGTAAGGTATGCTTTCCTTCTTGCTAACTCCGCAGCGTGAAGGCCTCCCTGGCCAGAAGCAGGTCCTCCGAAGAGCTCCTGGTGGGGAACGCGCAGCAGCTGCTCCAGGCCGTCCGTGAGGCCGTGAGAGCCGCAGAAGCTGCGAGTCTGCGGGTGAGTGCTGACCAGACGGGTCTGAAGTGGGTGTGGGCATGGGCTACCTAAGTGTGCACCGTGCCAGTGCTCAGGCTTGCAGGCTCCCTCCTGGCCACAGCCACGAGGGTTGGGCCAAGCAGAAGCCAGGAGCCTGGAACACCATCTGGCTCTTCCACACGGCTGGTAGGAGAACCATTATCAGCCACCTTCTCAGGAGCATTAGCAGGAAGCTGGATGGAAAGTGGAGCTGCCAGAACTCGGTGCTGTGCCTCAGTATATGGGATGCTGGCATTGCAAGTGGTGGCATAACATGCTATACCACAATGCTGGCCCCTCTGCCCTCTTCTTAGCTATTAAATTCAGCTTCATTCCTTCCCCCAATCTACCACCTGATTCCCTGTGGGACTGTTTGGTGAATCATTGGCTATTCCTTTAGCTCCATCCAGTATGTGGGTGAATTTGGTGAAACATTCTTCATGTCTGTTACATGAGTTTTTTGTTATTTGTAACATTATTGCTTATTTTAATAACTTTTATTCATCTGCTAGAATTTTCCATTTGTTCATGTATTTTTGCTCTTTTTCACTAGAATCCTTGACATGCTCCTCATAGTTATTTTCAGTTACCTATATAATTTTAATATTGTGGCTCATGTTTGAATCTGGATTTCTGGTGGGGATTTTTTTGTCTTCTGATAATGGGTTAGTCTTTTGTTATTCTTTCTTCATGTCTCATAACTCTTTGTTGAGAATTTGACATTATGCAGGGCATGGTATGGATCAAAAAAGCTAGAATACATGTGTGTATGTTCCAGATCTTTAGAGTGCTTGGTGATTCAATAGAGTTGGGTTTTGGGGCCTGCACTGTGGCATAGCAGGTAAAGCTCCCACCTACAACACTGGCATCCCAGATGGGCACTGGTTTGAATCCTGGTTGCTCCACTTCCAATCAAAATCCCTGCTAAGTACTTGAGAAAGTAGTAGAAAGTGACCCAAATGCTTGGACCCCTGCTCCCACTTGAAAGACCTGGAAGGAGCTCCTGGCTTCAGTCTGACCCCAGTCTAGCTGCTGTGGCCATTTGGGGAGTGAACCAGAGGATAGAAGATTAGAACATTCTCTCTCTCTCTCTCCCTCTCTCTCTCCTTTCATATAAACAGAATAAATCATATCCAGGTTCTGAGTTTTGGGCTTATTGTTGCAATCACAGTTGGCACACCATTACTATTACATTTGCTGGCGTGTATCATTTCTTCGCTTTAACTTGTACTGGTTTGAGAGGCTGAGACAGAGAGCACCCATTCTCTTGACACCTGCAGTGAGTGACCAAGCCTGAGCTTCACTGAAACTGGGAGCCATGATTCAATCCAGGTCTCCCACAGGGGTAGCAGGAACCCAAGTACTTGAGCCATTACCTACTGCATTTTGAGGTCTGCATTAGCAGGAAGCTGGATATGAAGCCTGAGGCTGGACTCCAATCCAGGCACTCTGATAGAATACAGATGTCTTAATTGGTACCTTAACCAAAGCACCTGCCCCAGCCAGAGTTACCTTCTGTCAGTTTACTGTCCTGCCCTTGGTGACTCAGCTGTCTTTTTAAAAGAGACAGATCTGGGCGGGGACTTGTGCCTGTGGTGACACTGGTGGCTGCTTGCCTCCCCCAAGCCTACATCACAAGAAGCCTTGTTCTGCCCAAGTCTTTCTCATGAGCATAGACATGGTCCCTTGAAAAACCTATGAGTTCATGTAGGTTTTCTTGTTGTGGTTTCCCATAGTTTCTGTACAAGCACACTAGTTTTTAGAGTTATTTTTGTTTTACTTCAAAATCAGAGTAATTGACAAAGAGGGAGAGAGACAGAGAGAGAGACAGAGAGAGTGAGTCTTCCATTCACTGATTCATTCCCCAAATAGCCAAAACTGCTGGAGTTGGGCCACTTGGAAACGGAGCCAGAAGCTTCTTCTGGGTCTCTCATATCGGTTCAGGGGTCTAGGCACTTGGGCCATCTTCTGCTGTTCTCCAAGTTGCATTAGCAAGGAGCTGGATTGGAAGTGGGGCAGCTGGGACTAGAACCACATGCCAATATGAGATGTTAGCCCTGCAGGCAAAGGATTAGCCTAATAAACCTGCAGCAGCCTCTCATATTATGCCATTACCTATTTGTTAGACATTTTTCCTAAATTTGTTTTATAGGATTCTAGGGTAGCCCTGTTTTCCTCCCCTGTTCCAGTATCTTGTGACAGTTGGATTATCCTTGTCTCTTCTCAGAGGTGTCTGTCTGCTTAGATTCCAGACCAACTTATCACCTTTTAACCTGAACTCTCTAATGAGTTGAGATTGCAATTTTGTGGACAATGTGTCTTCATTGTGATGGTGGTAGTGGTGTTAGGGTGTGGGCAACACTGTAGGGTATTTCCTATACCCTAAGTGGAAGCTGGAAATGGCAAATATTTGAGTGCCTCAAATGTTTTTCTTAGGGTCTCTCCATTCTTGGCCACTCCACGTCACCAATGATTCCCTCTTCCTTTTGTTCTTTTTCTTGATTTGTGTTATTACTTATTTGAGAGGTGGGGGACAGAGAGAGACAAAGAGCAAAGAAGGGAGGAAGGCGGGAGGGACAGAGAGGGGAGAGAGAGGAGAGAGCACAGGTGAATGAGTGAGCTGCCAATCCAGCTGGGGCCAGAACCAAGAGGCTGCAAGTGCAGCCGGATCTCCACGTGGGCGCACCACCCCTTGCTGTCTCCTAGAGGTTGCATGGAGAGGAAGCTGGAATTGTTAGCCTGGCTGCTTCTTAGCTTTTGAGTCTGAACTTGAATTCTGCCTGCTCAGGGTCGATAAACAATTCCACTCTGTCTAAACTGAATCACACCCACTGTCCTACACATTGATATTTTGCATGATTCCTTGATAGTACCCACCACAGTTTGTAGTTAGTTTTCTTTCTTTGTGTTTATTTATCTTTTTGGCCCCTTATTAGCATGTGAATTTCTTGAAGTCACATACCTAGACTGGCAGGCTGGCACAGCCAAGTGCTAAACATGTGTGGACAAGGTTCCAGCTGATGGAAACTTTGTATTGGTTAAGTTCAAAGAGTACCTAGACCAGACATATGCAGTAGAAGGGGTTTGACAGTGTCCGTATTGCAGCCACATGCAGCACGTGGCCCTCCTTGTGCCAGGGCCATTGTCCACAGCCTCCACGGACTGCAGCACCAACTAAGACAGGGCCCATGCCAGTCCCTCAACCTCCAGACCACCTGAGCCCAGGGAAACTGAGTGCCATGTGAGTGTGCATGGTGTGCACTTGTGCTGGCTGGGTCTTCTTAGAGCACTAGCTCCCTGACCCATACGTGTTTTGCAGAAAGCAAACTGAACACAGCAAGACCCAAAGGGAGTGGGAATCCCAATAGGGGAGAGAATTGACAAGTGCTGGCTACTGTGTTCGCAGAACAAAGATGACAAACCTTTTATTTTATTGGAAAGGAAGATTTACAGAGAAGGAGAGAAAAAAAGATTTTTCATCTGCTGGATCACTCCTCAAATGGCCACAATGGCTAGAGCTGAGCCAATTCAAAGCCAGGAGCTTCTTCCAGGTCTCCCATGCTGGTGCAGGGTCCCAAGGCTTTGGGCCATACTTCACTGCTTTCCCAGGCAAGACAGGGAGCTGGATAGGAAGTGGAACAGCCTGGACATGAACTGGTGCCCATATGGGATCCCGGTGCTTGAAGGGGAAGGATGAGCCAATTGAGCCATCACATCAGGCTAATGACAAAACCTTTTATGCTGCTGCAATGCATAGCTCCTCTACAAACAGGGCTCCTCAAGCCCCACAAAATAACGGGGAGGGAAAGATTGGGATTCAGAGCTTATGGAACTATATCATAAAAAATAAAGAATATTAAAAAATTAGGGCCAGAGCAACCTGAATCAGAGGAATCGAAGAGCCCAAATAACCAGCACGCAGGGGGCCAGCGGGCACGAACACCTACACTACTTAATCGCTTCTCTCTCCCTCCTTCACTCCAACTCCAGGGATTGAGATCGCCTCCCCACAACCCAGAGGAATCAGAAGTTGCTGCCCTCTGCATGCAGTGGAGGAAGAGACTTGTAAAACACAGACTTCAAGAAACTTCCACCAGGGACTGGGATGAGTGGGGCCTGCGAAAAGCAAGCACGGAAATGCCTCCCACACTTGCTGCCCTGATTCAAAGCTAAGGAATGGTCTCCAAGTGTGGCTCCCTGTTACCCAGTACCTGGATCCTGGGGAAAGGGCTGGGCAGGCTGAGTCAGCCAGTGAGACCCCAGAGGGCTGGGCCGTGCCAGGTCCTGACAGTATTCCAGCGAGGTGAACATCCCGGGCCTCTGGTGACACCAATGCCCTTCTGAGACAGACACTGTCATTTCTGTAGCTCAGAAGAAAAGTCAAATTATACAAGGTGGGGAACATGAATTTAAGCATTTATTAAGATGTAACGTGAGCACAGTTCCAGAATGTTCTACAGGGAGCAAAGAGCTGAAAGGCTCATAGAAACCGACTGGGGAGGCCACTATTCACTTTGCTTGTTAAGATTCGCAGAGGGGAAACTGAGGTTGTGTCTGTCAGGAGCTAAGAGGCAAGGACTGCCGTCGGTCTACATTTAGTGAATTTGAAGTTTGGGGTTAGAGCTAGCAAGGCCTCACCCAAGTCCAAGAGAATTTTTCAGCTCTTCAGCATTTTCACAAAACCTGACTTGTAAAAATCAGTGGCCTTCATTTGTGTCAGAGGACCGAACTCTGGGCTGGGGCCAACAGGCTGAGAGCAGGAGGAGGCCAGGCCTGGGCACCAGGGTCTCTGTTAATTTTTAGTGGCTAGAAAGCATTTGTTGTGTAATAGGAACCCTCTTAAATTTAGGGAGTTTTAGTTCGTATCTTGTATTATGGTCTCTTGTGCTCTGTGTTCCATGTATTCTAGAAAAGGATGTCCATTTCTGCAGAAATTGGGTAAAATGATTGATGCTGTTTATGAAAGTATTTTGTGGTCTGGCTGCTTTTATTTGTTCTATCAGTTTTATGGAGCAAAATATACACCTGTAATTGTGAATTTATCTGTTCAACTCTTTAGGGTCTTGCTTCATTATTAGATGCAGAAATGTCCTTGAGGGAGGGAGGATGGGGAGGGGGTAAGAGAAACCTCAGAGCTTATGCAATTGTATCATAACATTAAAATAAAATAGAAGGGA